GAAGGGTGACTCCTATTACTCGAGTTTTGAAAGAGAAACCTTTCGAAACTTGAGCATCCAGAGCAAAGGATTTTAATAATGTCATTTAAAGAATATCTTAGACCAGTGGTTCTTAACCTTTGTTACTCGGATGTTTTTGAACTGCAACTCCCAGAAACCCCAGCCAGCACAGTGCTCTTTTTGTTTTCAACAACACAGTCCCAGAGAAGGGTGACTCCTATTACTCGAGTTTTGAAAGAGAAACCTTTCGAAACATGAGCATCCAGAGCAAAGGGTTTTAATAATGTCATTGAAAGAATGTATTAGACAAATGCAGTGTTCAGACTGTCAGAAGACTACTTGACTTTAAATCTCGGAATACTTCAGAGGCCATAACAATCTAGTGGATATTATTAGGCATGCACCAAAAGCACACCATGCCTTAATTTATTGGCTGTTGAGGACAAACCTCTTGGCCCACCTTGGTGCTCAGCCTGGAAAACACATGTGAGGGAGGCACTGGGAATTTCAAGCTGAACTGGATCACCGCCATGGACAAATTACAACAGTAGATGAAGCTGAAACCGAGTGACTCCAATGTTACATGGATGGTGAATCCACTCCAGGTTTAAGTATTTAATCTTTACAGATGTTATACAACGTGCCGAACCTTCTCTTCCTGAAAGATTCCGCATCTTGGATACAGCCTGTAGAGTTCAGGCTAAAACCTCAAGTGAATTTGCTGCCTTTTTTGAAAAATTGGAGCTGGCTGGATAGCTCAGTGGTTTAAATATGGTTGGGAGTTTGATTCCCCCACTGGGTCTCCTGGAAGAAGAAGAGCCAGCCTGGGTGGCCTTGGGCAAGCTGCACAGCCCCAGGGAGCCCCCAGTGGAAGGGAGTGGTAATACACTTCTGAGTGTTCTCTACCTAGAAATCCTTGAAAAGGGTCACCAAAAATCAGAATTTGCTTGATGGCACAGAGTGATGATGGTGATTAAAATTAGAGTTGCCAGCCACTAATGAGCCAGAGATGAAAGCACTGCCAGGCCCATGGATCTGCATCTCCCATCTTTACAGAGACCTCTCTTCCCTGTATTCTGAGTGGTCAGAGAAGAGCAAGAACCAAGTCTTCATATAAGGCCAAATTGCAAACTGTTTATTTCAGTTCTTATACAGCCCCTTTATCCCAATAGGAAAGACATCCCTGCCCGTCTCTGACCAGCAAGGAAGCACACTACTATTGTAGTGAATTGGAGGGGGGGGGGAAAGGAAGCAATATGGCTGCACCAATACTGGAATCAGCAGATGTAACCTCTGACAAAGGACATCTGTGAGTCAACAAATTGGGTCATCTGTGTCCTCCTTCAGCCTTTGGAAATCCTTTTTTAAAAATTATGAAACCCATTCTAAGCCAAATAAAAACTAACGTGCATGGATGGGCAGTGTATTTTCACTAGCCTGGCATGCTTGGGCAGGCAGATGGGAGAGAACGTGCCCGTTCATGATGCAGTATGTGTTGCAGAGTTTTTGAATTTTGATTAAATCCCTCTAGCTGCACAGCGGTTCACAGAGCAGAACAGCTTCAAGTTTCCCAGATTAGTCCACCCCCCTGTTCTCATCAACTGGCACTTACAGGCTCACTCACTCAGTCGGATTCATTACGAGAAGAAAGCATAAAAGATTTCATGACTTACAATTCAACGGAGCAAACATCAAATGGATAAAAAACGACTGCTTCAACCACCAACTTCAACAGATTCACTTGACTGCTCCCAACAGACCACAGAGAGGGGAAAAGCTCAAAATGCAGAGAGCTGGAGCTGTCTTTGAATCTGAGGCAGGAGGGGAAAATTGCTAGTGCTGTTGATGATTGACGGTCACCCCAGCCCATCAAAGTCCCTCTAAGCCAAACCTACTAAAGGCAGCATGCGAGGCTGCAAAAACTCCCATAGTATGAATCTGGGATTTTTTGGCCCTCCAGATGTTTGAAATTCAGGTTTCCATATATTTCAGGCTGTATGGTCAAGGATCTGCTGTTAAGGGACGTGTAGTCCAAAGCTGCTGGAGGCCATGTGATATGTTATGACCCACCAACAGGTGGACCTGCAGAACTAAAGAATAAGAGCAAAACAAACATTGGAGTAGCTCAAGTCTGAGCTTGCATGTCTCTTTCAGAAACGCCTCTTTCCCCAAGTCAGCACTTCTCTCCCACACGCCCAGCAATTAGCAACATGGGGGGGAAGGAGAATGTAGCCCTTTTGTTTTAAATGTTGTGACAAGGTTCTTTCATTGCTGCAGATGTGTTGGGAGGAACTTGGGTGAAGGCTGAATGCGTCTCAAACTGCCGAGCCAGCAGGATGTTCGGCATGTTTTGTTCGTTGAAAAGTTCGCCATCTAATTGCTTTTAAAAATAAAATACTAACGATATAATGCTCTCCACAAATGCTAGCAGATGTTACTTTGATGCAATTATCAATTTTTAATTTAATGATTCTGTTGATGTTTGTTCTATTTCTTTCTTTCTTTTTTCCTTTTCGGAGGGAGGAATTATATGACAATTACCCAGCCTTATTAATCAGTTGAAGATTATTTTCTTCTTCTCGCGGCTGGAGGAAGGCAGATGTAAATTCCAAGAAATTTTGAAATGTTCCAAAATATGTCAAAGAATAGTTGTAATAATTAATGCAATGCAGAAGCTACAACCCCCTACCCCAAATTGTATACTAATGGAGGTTTGGAGCAAGCTTCACAAGGGAGATAAAGGCATTCAGGCATATTGAATATAGTTAAGGCTTAAGCAAAAGGAAGCTGCTTTCCTAAGGAGGTAATTCCATAACTGGCTGGATAGCTCTGTGATTTGGCTGCAGAGTCAGAGGTTGGGAGTTGGATCCCCGCCCCCCAGGACTCCTGGGAGAAGAATCAGCCTGTGTAGCCTTGGGCAAACTGTACAGTCCCAGAGTGCCCCTAGAGGAAGGGAATGGCAATACACTTCTGAGTATTCTCTATGTCAGTGGTCCCCAACCTTGGGCCTCCAGATGTTCTTGGACTTCAACTCCCAGAAATCCTGGCCTGCAGAGGTGGTGGTGAAGGCTTCTGGGAGTTGTAGTTCAAGAACATCTGGAGGCCCAAGGTTGGGGGCTACTGCTCTATGTGGAAAACCCTGAAAAGGGCAAAGGTAAGTAAGAATTGACTGGGTGGCCCATGATTAATATTAACGCTGTCAATATCACTTCAGGCTATAAACTGCATTATTTAGGTTTTATATCCCTTAGATTTTGGAATGGGGCTAAAATATCTTTTTCTCCTTCTACTTTTTGTGGTTGCAGGTTTTTAACTTTTTGAAGTGTCAGTTTTCTTGAATATGAAATATAGATGAAATAAAAGCCTATAAAATAATATCACCTTGGCTGATTCACTTTTCTGCTTAGAAATAGTAGAGTAAGAATTTTTAAAAAGCCTGACTATGTATGAGGAGAGAACAGCTTCAACATGAGTGATAAATATCTTTTTCCTATACCCAGATGAAGGATGCAGCATTCATACAGCGATAGCTAGACGGATTTTTATAATTTCAAGTGCCAAGATGTATCAGAGTTCCATGTAAACAACAACAAATGGATGAGTGGGCTTTCTTCTGACCCTCTCAGAGTTCACATGTCAGCAGGTTGGATCAGCAAAGCTGTGTGGGAGGTATGAGAAAATGACAAGTGTTGAGACCCTAAATGGACAGAGGTGTATACCAAACTGTCTTCTACAAAGCTGGACCCTTGTCTCTCTGCCCAGCTCAAGTCACTGAGGTCCTTCAGCTTGAAGTTATTAGGACTGAAACAGGAGTTAAGCAGGGAGCTCTCAAGGGAAACAACTCAGTTCTGAAAATGCAACAGACTGTGTATTAGGTCCAGAGTGACCTGTAACTTTTCCAGATGGCTTCATCTTGAAACAGCCAAACAAGACTTTACTGCTACAGCACGAGGCAAAAAAACTGAGTTTCTCTTTAGGATTTAGCTCCTGACGCTCAGTGTCCTTGCTTCAACTTCAGTTACTTATCAAGACTGGAATTCAATACACACCTAAAGTGCAACAGACTGTGTATTAGGTCCAGAGTGACCTGTAACTTTTCCAGATGGCTTCATCTTGAAACAGCCAAACAAGACTTTACTGCTACAGCACGAGGCAAAAAAACTGAGTTTCTCTTTAGGATTTAGCTCCTGACGCTCAGTGTCCTTGCTTCAACTTCAGTTACTTATCAAGACTGGAATTCAATACACACCTGGCAACCAGTCCCACGCAATTCAGTAGGACTCACTTTGGAGTTGATATAGAGAGGGCTGGTCAGGTCATTGAAATGACTGGGTTATTGTAAGAGAGGCAGTTAAGATTGGGGAATTTTAGTTATTCCTTTTAGTCAGCAGTGTAAGAGTTAGAAAAAAAACACAATATGGAAATGTGGAAAGATCAGCTCAGTTTCAACAGCCCCCCATCTCCTTGGTTTCTTTTGCACACAAATTAGCACTTTGCGTGATAAAATCACACTAGAAGCAACTAAAGTAGAAAAGACCATATTTACTTACAGTTACCATCTATAGTTACAGTCATATGGAAATGTGGAAAGATCAGCTCAGTTTCAACAGCCCCCCCATCTCCTTGGTTTCTTTTGCACACAAATTAGCACTTTGCATGATAAAAATCACACTAGAAGCAACTAAAGTAGAAAAGAGCATATTTACTTACAGTTACCATCTATAGTTACAGTCAGAAGAATAAAAAAGAGGAAAATTTGAGTTTCCAGCATGTGGAAACCTTCCATTATTGTTGCTTGTTCAGAGGTCAGAGAAGGAAGAAAGCCATCAACAACAAAGACAATGGAAACAACCAATCAGGAGCCACAGATTATCTGACAGCTTTGTGGTCTGTTAGAGTTCACATTATGATGTCACTGTGGGTAGGCAAGCGAGATGGAGAGGAGATAGTGTTGTGACTAAAGGGACTTTTTTCAAACCTACAGTGCAGGTGAAGGAAAGCTTTTGACACCACAAGAAATATTTAAGAATATTTCTCACATTAGACGGAATGCACGTTTGAACTTTTAAATACAAGAATTAAATCCCCAGAAACTTCAAAACTAGCAAGTCAAGGAAAAAAAAAACTGGCTGGATTTTGTTAAATGAAGCTCAGCTTTGAAATCATCAGCTTTACTTATTTGAAAAGAGGAGTCTGAGATTTGTAAGGCAAGAGTCTAGGTCCGAATTAATAAGCATAATTAGAAAAGATTAAACGTATCAGAGGTAATTTTTTATGAGAACGGAAACACTTTACTCTGTTATATTTTTTATTATGCATATTGTATTATTAATGGTGTATTCAAATTAATTTTTACAGTTTATATCAGTATTATTTCACAGTGTGAGTTGTCCTTTCCCTTGGGCAATGTAAGCCTCCTGCTATAAATCAGAAAATAAAACCCGTGGACTACAAAAGATGAGCTGATATTTCTTCACATCTATATAGACGCTGGCTTCCACACAAAACTGATGGATGTTTTTGTGTTCTTACCCTTTTGGTGTCATGCGGCTGAGATTTGTCTGGTGCTGACGCTGATGACGTTTCGGCGCCAGGTCAAAGCCTTCCTGTTCCAGAAGGCTTTTAATTGAAACAATATCAACTGCGGGTCCTGATGGCAATTTTTAGAGTATCTGTTTTAATTGTATTTCAATTGTTTTATCTTTATTGTATTTTAATTGTATTTTAATTGTTGTAAGCCGCCCACAGACCTTTGGGTAGAGTGGGTGACATATGTTATGAAAATAAATAAATGAATAAATGAATAAATGAATGAATGAATGAATGAATGAATGAATGAATCTTTTGAAGGACAGGTGTGTGGGTAGCTATGAGCCATGCTAGCTCAAAGAAGCTTCTGTATTAAATCACAGAATACAGTGGTGCCTCACTTAACGAGTGCACCGTTTAACGATGAATCCGCATAGCAACGTGTTTTTTGTGATTGCTAATGCGATTGCATTGCAATGTTTTAATAGGCAAAACATCGCATTGTGATGTTTTGGGAACAGCTGATCGACGATTCCAAAATGGCCATCGGGTCAAGAAAATGGCCACCTGCAGCATTTTCCAGCCCTGCCCTCACTTACCGGGTGGCGAAAATGGCAGCCGGATGGAGGAATCCCCAATAGGAACGCATTAAATGGAGTTTAATGCATTCCTATGGGGTTCCCCCCCGTATAGCGACGAATCCGGATAGCGACGTTAATCGTGGAACGGATTAACGTTGCTATGTGGGGCACCACTGTAAAGGGAAGGGATGAGTAGTTTCCAAGTTGCAAGTAAAGTCCAGGTTACTGGGAAAAAAACTGAGTCACCCGAATGACTTGAGTCCGACTTGACAGCAAGTCCTACAACCCAAGTCCCCCATGCCTAGTGATTGCTTCTCATTGTACAGTTGGCTCAAAAAGAATTGATTTTATTCAGAAGATCCACTGAACTTTACAGATCCCCACGTGCTTTTGAATGGACAAAACCACACAGAAACTTACTTCAGAGGAAATGCGTTCTCCACCTGCTTCCAGTGGCTAGAAAACCTGTATTACAGCACTCAGGAGATGGATGGCCACCTTCCATTGCTCAGTGGACTGCGGACCTGATAATCTTTTTAATATTGGAATGTATAACATATAGAATGCATGAAATATCAATTCAAGTGGATTGATATTTAAAAATGTGGTTGTACTGTATTTCCTTTGGGTTTATGTAGAAATGCTCTTTTGCTGAAGAACTTCCAGTTCACTATGTGTCTACATATTTCTTTGGATCACATTTCACGTTCTTGTTTATTTCTTCATAAAAAATGATTTTCTTGGATAATAAAAATGAATAGGAAAACCTGTTCAGTACTGAAAAGCAACTGTTAAAGATTCTAGACGATTATTAGAATTACAAAAGTTTATCATGTAAACAAATGATGAAAATGTGAGTCTCGAAGTTGTCAACTCTTTTGGGAAACCTGGCCATTCCTGTCTCTTGACTTGATAGCATAAATGTTTTCAATGGACTGTTTTACTAGCCATGCTCACAGTTTTCAATAAGGATGCCTATTAATTTTTTTTTTTACAAAAGTCAGTCTGCCCAAACTTTGACAATTTGTGCAATTTATTTTTTTTAGCATTTGTTCCCACAGTTTTAAAAACTGCAAGAATGGTTTTACTCCATGTTACTTTTTCAAATATTTTGCACATATGGACTACAGATGCAATGTAGATAAGTAAAGTTTGTAGATTTAGACAAGTTGATCTTTTCTGGAATTATTGCAACAATGAAAAGACATACTATGATACTCAGATGGGTTTCTATGTGATTGTCAACGATTGTTTCGTTTTACTCTGGAATTAATTCTTTTGGGATGGGGATAAAATGACAGCCGTGAAAAATACAGGCTTCTGATTTTTCCCTAGAGAGCTATAAATTTTTATAAGTTTCTTAGGGGTGTATGCAGGTGTCAAAATCTCTTCAATAAATAAGTAAATAAAATATATAGTTCAAAATGAGCCATTAAATTAACTGAGTGACTTCAAGCCAGTCTCCCTCCCTTCCTTTTCCCCCCCGTCTTACGGGGGGTCACCATCACGATAAGGTGGTCAGGAATAAAACCATGTACATGAAGCTGAATTGAATGGAAGACAATAAAATGTATGTAACTAATTGTATTATCTTTGGGGAATCAACAAGTCAACAAGTAATTCAAAAGGGCCCTCTTCCAGAAGGTCTTAAAAATAATGTTGGGATTCTTCTGAGCTATAGAATAGAAAGACATAGAGGAAGGAGAGAGAGGGAGAGATGATCATCATTGGAAATTCTAATCTTAGACTTCTGTATGACTTTTTTTTGACTTACACCCTCTTAAAAATGCAGATTAAATTTCTATCCGAAACAACAGCAATTATGAAAATCTACCCTTTTCCTCCAAGACCTGCTGTAAAATTTCCTTCAGCGCTAAAGCTTGAGAAACTTTTTTTAAAAAAAAACTTTAATTACAATAGACCCATTCTCATTATAAGAGGACTATAAGAAATCTACATTTATGCTTACTTCTGAATTCTCACAGAGTTATGTTGTTAGCATGATTAGCTTGTACTATTTTAATCTACAGTGCTGGTAATACGTTTACCGTGCTGACCTTATATAAAAAGTCTCTCAAGAGTCTTGCCTTTTTGTGCGTGAAGAAATGTAACGAACAAGTCCAGAGGGCAGGGAAAGCTGAAATTACTTGGGTTGTGACTCAAAGATCGGGAGAAGAAGCAGAAAATATTGTTAGTTTTAGGGAAATGAAATTTGACTTGCTTTGCGAATGTATGAGAGGACATAAAATTTCAAAACCTTCCTGAGATTATGTGAGGTTTTTTAAAAAATGCATTTTGGGGATCTGCAAAAGAGATTTTGCACAAAATTACTGTATTTTGCACAAAAGCCTATAGGTTTTGGGAAAGACCCATAAGATTTAGTGGAGAGGTTGAGCCTTAAGCCTCATAGTAAGTCCATAGGCTAGAATCTATTTATTTCATCTAGGAATTTAGAATCTGCATTGCCTCGTTGGTGCTTCTCCTGCTCCTCTTTTGATCCTACAGACTCTAATTAGCCATTCCAGTATAAGGCATTTAGAGTAACTAATATTTCTGCCTTGAAAAAAAAGTGAAAATAAATGTTTTCTGTTTGTTCAATGTTAAGAAACATCTACAAAGCCGTATTCTTTCAGTGAAGATAACTATCCGCATTTATTTAATCCAGCACCCCAAGATTTATGCATGTTTAGTCAAATAGGATGGGTATAAATAAAATAAAATAATTATGATGAAGAAATTACTCATCAAGGTGGGAGTTTTGGTGCACTAGTATAGGGAGGGGTTTTAATAGATGCAACATGTTAATAAGCAAATGGAGCAGAACATTAATATTTAAACATATATTGAGCTGGATGTAATTAGCGCAGCGTCTGCTGTTGCCATTTTCCTCCCCAAGCTGCATTTTGGCGGGCGATGCTTCTGCTGCATCGGGTTTCAATTCTCTGTTCTATCAAACACCTTGTCAAGGAGCTTAGAAACCTAAATGAGCTGTTCAGCTGGTCTTTGGAAGCTTCCCTAAAAGTCTGTTACAAGATTTAAATGCACAGAGAGGGTAGAACCCACAATTCCTGTTTTTGTTGTTGTTGTTTAGTCGTTTAGTCGTGTCTGGCTCTTTGTGACCCCATGAACCAGAGCAGGCCAGGCCCTCCTGTCTTCCACTGCCTCCCGGAGTTGGGCCAATTTCATGTTTGTTGCTTCGATGACCCTGTCCATCCATCTCGTCCTCTGTCATCCCCTTCTCCTCTTGCCTTCACACTTTTCTAACATCAAGGTCTTTTCCAGGGAGTCTTCTCTTCTCAGGAGATGGCCAAAGTATTGGAGCCTCAGCTTCAGGAACTTCCAGTTGGCACTCAGGAATGATTTCCTTTAGAATGGATAGGTTTGTTCTCCTTGCAGTCCAGGTGACTTTAGGAGCCATTTGGTTGTCACAACATCCGCCAACCAGAAATTGCTTAATTTAGGTGTTCTGCTGCTTGAGATAAAGAACATGGCAGTGCTCCTCCTTTCCGTGGACCAAAGTTGACTGGAGGGAAGCTGAATTTCACTTCAACACTGGTGACGTTTGAACAAAGCAGTTTAGCTGTGGGGACACCACCCTTTCTCCTCCAACATTTGGTTACCTCCTCCCACTATCGGCCCTTGAAGCCAATGTCTCCCCCTCTGTGCAGGATGAGATTTCAGGGAGGACTCCCATCTCCTCTCACCATTACTCATGACCACCAATTTGGGTTGAACTGAATTTTTTGGGGAAAAAAAATATTACCGTGGCACCTAAATTTGATCTTTTGATCTGCTGACACGAAAACACATTGTCTGCTCTAAGCCAATAAAGGGGCTTGTGAGCTTCTTCTAAGCCAAAGGCAAGATCTACAGGATTTCTTCCTACAGGAACACTGTAAGCTGATACCCTGCAATTTTGTCTCATGCTCACTTTGCAAACGCCACCTTGCTTTCATTACAGCCAGCCTTCACATGAGCTTCACATGTGCCTTATACGATTTTGGACTGTTTGTCTCTTCCGTCCCCTCAAATATCACCCTTTCTTTGCTTGATAAAAAAGTTATCCTTGTTTATCTTTTTAAAGACCCACTAAAGGGATTAGTCAGTCCAGAACTCTGTTTATATGGATAGATTACACATGTTTTTTTCCTCCTTTAGGAAGTGAAGCCCTGGATGGGTTGTTTCTTTCTTTCTTAATGCTCAGCTATAAGGTCACCCATTTTCATGCATGGTAGATATCACAACTTATCAAATACACAGAAAAACACGTTTTTCTATTACCAAACCAATGAGCAAGCTTGTTCTTATCATTCTTTCTTTGGCTTAGTCGTAATGTACGTATTAAATCCTTTCTTTAGTTGCCAGAGATACTCTCTGTAGCTTCTGGTTGTGACAGGTCAACTTTCAGTCATAAGGCTGAACAGACTTGAGGATGAGGTGGCCATGTACACCCTCTAAACATTCTGGGAATGAGAGTTACAATTAGAGGTGGGGATATTCGTATATGAGTGGGATTGACCCAGCAGTAGGATGTGTGACTGGACCGTCTGGCCTTGGGGGCTAGACCCTTGTTGGGTCCAGCTGAGCGGGAATGTTCGCATCCATATACGAATACAAATATCTCCATCTTCTGTTACAATCGAACACAATCTGGAGCGCAAACAGTTCCCACTGCTGCTCCACCACATACTTTTGTGGCGATAAAAATATTCCACCACTTGTGATTGTCGTAACTTTAAGCACACATTTAAGCTTCTGCAGGGCTTTATTGCCGCTTAATAGGATATTGAATTATGCCCCATCAAGGGACTCCCATCTTAAAAATAAAGCAATGACACCTTAATGCCTGATTCATATTTGCTCTTCAGAGAAAACAGTGTATGAATATTCAGCTTGATTTACAAATCTATTTCCAATTCTCTATTTTTTCTTTAATCATATTTAAAAAACAGTTGACTCCCCTCTTTTTTTTTCCCTTCTCTTATTTTCTCCAGGAAGAGAAGAGCATCTGTTGCCAGCAGGATAATGTCAGGGCTTTACATAATGCAAATGGGATTTTCGAGGAATAGCTAATGTCATGGTAAGCCAAGAATTAATTCAAGAGGGGAAGAGGAGAGGGTTATTAATTCCGCACAGTGTGCATGTGAGTTTTGGCAACTGCCTTTCCTTTGCACTTTTCCTTAGGTTTAAGCAACATGAGGAGTCCCCTTTCACTTCTTGACTTTCACTTTGTACGGCAAACCAACCCATACCATCCTTAAAAGAGCATCATCATCATCACTGATGACAAGAAGTTGGCCTGTTGCTAGGGAAGCGTTAATTAGAGACGCTAGGTGGGAACTTTTGGTGGAGAAATAAGTGCCTGGCTGTAAAATATGCAGGAGGATTGTGTGACCCTCCAACAGTTGCTGGAGTACATCCCCTATAACAGTCCTAAAACAGCTTGGGGCCAATCTATCTGAAAGAGCACATCTCCCTCTGTGAGCCTGCCCAGGCATTAAGATGATCAGGGGAGGCCTTTCTCTCTGTCCCACCACCCTCACAGGTGTGGTTTGGTGGGAACACAGGAGAAGGCCTTCTCTGTGGCTGCTCCCAGACTTTGGAACTCCCTCCCACTGGAGGCCAGGCTGGCTCTTTTTTTTCTGTCCTGCCACAAGCAGGCAAACACCTTTCTCTTCAGACAGCTGTTTCCTTAGCGACTGACTATCTGAAAGGGATTTTTCAAATTGGATTGTTGTGATCAGCTGCTTTTAAATGTTTTTAGTATTGATTCTATTTGCTGTTTTTATTATGGTTGAGTTCTTTTTAAATATTTGTATAATTGTTGTTTTTAGCTTTTAAATATTGTCCTTTTTGCAATGTTAGCTGCCTTTTTATGATGTGAGCTGCAGGGTACAAACAAACAAACAAACTCTTGCTTTGCTTTGCTTTGTTTTGCTTCTACCTCCCCATTCTCTCTATTTTAATTTCTCTGAGGAGCTGGTCTCCCATGTAGAGGAATGCTCCCCTAGCAACAGGCCACCTACTTGTTAAGGATGGTGTTGGGGCAATGGAAGCAGCAGTCCAATAATATCTGGAGGACCCCATATTCTCAGCCCTGTTTTTTTAAAAAATATATTATTTATTTAAGTTATTATTATTAATTATTTATTGAAAATATTTTTACCCGCCTTTCTCCTTAAAAGGACCCAAGGTGGCTTATGGCATTGAAAGGACAATATTTAAAAGCTAAATCTGAACATATTTTAAAAAAGAATTAAACAAGCTTCATATTAAAACATTGGAAAAACAGTTTGTGGTTCAAGATCTAAATGCATTATTTGTAAGTCACCTTGAATTCCTCTACAGAGAAAATAGTGAGGCAGAAGCAAAGCACAACATCCATGGAAGGAGATGGTGCCATCTTCTCATAGAGAAGTACTCAAAACTTTGCTGCCATCTTGGTTAGGTTCGGGTCATGTGCAACCAGCTCCTCAGAGGAAGAAATGCATGGAGCAGGGGGTAGATAAAGGAATAGGTAGACACTTCTTGGTCTGAAAACACATTGGCCATCTCAGTTCCCTTCTGTGTTCCTTTTATTTCTGCAGGTGGTATGTATTCACTAAGGAGAGGCAGCCATGTTTTTCCAGCAGAAAAATACCAAGAGGTGGATTCATGCCCCTCTATCAGCAACATCCCTCCCTTTTACATTTCAGCGCTGTGGGTTAAAGCAGTATGTCTGACTCTGCTTTCTGAAATAATAAGCCCCATGAGCAAACAGTTTTTACCACCATGATGTTCTTCCAAACGTTTGGTTTCAATTGGGGTGCACACATCACCCATCCCCTCTTCGAAGGTTCTCGGTTAATCACTCCGTGGACTCCAACTCAGCTTCTTGACACAGATTTGATTGGAGTTATGGCAGCCGTCCCCTCTGCCTTTTCCCTCACAGTCCTACAGGGTAGAGTGATAGTCAGTAAACTCCTTGCCAACTTGGGCCCCCCATTAGTTTGACTGGAATTCTTCTGGAGTTCTAGCTTCTGGAAGGCGGGAAAGAGAGCTTAAAGTCAGAAGGCACCCCTTCTAGAGAAGGAGCACAGAAAATTCAGCCTCTGCAGCTTGTCTCTCTTGGTCCCTTCCCTTCCTTGCCTGTCTTGAACTGCCGCAATGTCTAGACTTACACAGCCTTGCCCAAGTGGATGGCTGGAGTCTTGAGTGACTGGCTTCTGTTGCAAGTACATAAACCTGGTGAGGCTAGGCAGCTTCTGGCATCCTCCCACATGCTCTCTTCTTCCAAGATGGGCAGTGACTAGAGATGGTCATGAACCATCAGTTCAGTGGTTTTGCCCATTC